TTTTCTTCCCAGGGATCAATCTAAAATTCTGCTTAAACCATGTTTTTTAAAGTTTTTATTGAGATGTAATTCACATACTACAAAATTTACCCTTCCTGAATTGAATTCGAGTTTAGTATTTGTGTTTTTCCAGCTTAGCTCCCTGAGGGCTTTGGGGCACACTTCTGCACGGAGCAGGTGCTGTTGGGCAGGCCTGGCATCGAGAGCAGACAGGCTCCATGCCTGTGCCCTTCCACTCACACAACTTGGGGCAGGAGACTTCACCCTTCACTCAGTGCTGCAGTAATCTCCAGTGTCTCTTTTGGCAGGTCAGATTGTTTGTGTTGAACGGACTGTCATCTTGCTTCAAAAGCCCCTGTCATGTGTTGCCTCTGGTGCTCGCTTCTGTGAGGTGACTGGCCCAGTGATGCTAGATGAATTGGACTCTGCTACAACTGCCAACTCCATCTGCAGCGTTCAAGGTGGGCAGCTTCTCACTGGAAAGGGTATTTATGTTTTTTTTAAATACTGTGTTTATTCACCGAGTAGTTGTTGAATGCCCGCAGTGCTTCAGACATTGGATGCGTAAGGAATGAAATGAGAAGTCCTAGCATCTCGGACTTAGAGTCTATACAAAGACACGAGTCAGTGAAGTACACAAACAGACACAGGCCTGCAGCCCTCCGAGCACTCCAGCTGCCAATGATCTGGCTCTCGGGCCAGGACGGGCTTCCTACAGACAGGAGGCTTGAGCTGTGTTCTGTGGGGCAGGTGGACTAATCAGGTGGGTGGGGCAGGAGGAACGGCTCACGGGAAGAGAGCAGGACCTATAAAGGCTGCTGATGGGAGAGAGAGCACTTGGCTCCTGCCCCTAGTTCACCCAGGCCACATTGCAGATACCAAAGCCCGCAGCGTGGATCTGTGCGTCTGTCCCAGGGTTTATCACTGCAGGCATGCACTATCTGTGTCATGTGCTTGCTTCCGTTATGCAGTAAAAAAGGCACATCGGTCATAGGGACACCACCCTGCCCTGTCCATTGCTCATTTAGCTCTCTTCCCAACTTAAAGCAAAGAATTTAGTAAATACAGTGGGTTTTTCTATGACTAGAATTTCTCAAGTGTTAGTGGAGAACAGTATTTCTAAAAAGTAGAGGAAATAGGCTGTGGTTGGCCATGTATTTCGCTTGTATTATGATGAAAAGTTTATTTCTGTGCCCTCATCTTATAAATTGTTGGGATACCCATTTCTGATTAAGCTAGTTGTGTG